ATTTATCATTATAACAGTAACTTGATCCGAAAAGCCGTATCACGTCTCGTTGACAGGCGCGGATCATCAGATCAAACTCAACGCTTCGCGTCTCGTTTGATCTGATGATCCGCGCCTGTCAACTCGACGTGATACGACTCTTCGGATCAAGTTACTGTTATAATAATATATATTTATTGCAATTTGAGGTCAGAGTATTTATGTTTTTAAAAACAGATTATCAATTTCATAATCTGCCAGATTCAACAACAATTCCTTCATATTTGATTGATCCTTGTGGTAGTTTCGATCAACAAGACGCTCGGCTTTCTCCGTAAACTCCGACCTGCCAATCGGCAATCTTCGACTGACTCAGCTACGCTGCCTTGTAACTCATTTCATATTTTACTCAGCATAAAGTTCTTCAAACATTTTTTTCTGTTGTCTAATTCTTCCTTATATATTGCTTTTGATCACAGCATCATGTAAGTAGTCTTTAAAAGCAAAACATATGTTGGGCGTGCTTCAAAGTAACTCAGAGTTCAAAGGTATAACATTGAGGAATTTCAAATAAGATCACATGACTTTATCAGCAACATGGTAGAACACTTTTGACTTCCGAGGTTAGTGTGCGAGGAACGAGCCACCCGAAGAGCTCCGAGTGCCGACCTGCTCGTTGGAGACAGCCGCCATTTTGGACCCGCTTCAAATCTTAAAATGCGAATATCTAGAGTTTGGATTAATCAATTTTAAAACAAATTGCGTATTAAGCATTTACAAAAGAGTCTCTCTTAAATTGTAAATTACTAAAATCATAAAAAGAAATTTGAAAAACAAAAAAAAGTTAAAAAATGCCCTTTTTAGGTCACCTGAGTCACTCAGGTGACCTATTGCTATCCGTTTTTGTCCGTCGGCGTTCGTCGTGCGTCAGTGCGTTAACATTTGAACATTTTTAGCTTCTTCTCTGAAACCGCTCAACCAATTTCAACCAATTTTGGCATATAGCATCTATGGGTGAAGGGAAACAAAAATTGTGAATTTCATGGTCCCTGCCCCCCTGGGGCCTGAGGGGTGGGGCTAAAACCACCAAAAATAATGCAATCTTTAAAAATCTTCTACTTTACTCCTGGACATCAAGCAGTCTAACTGTTGGCATCATTGTAATAAGCATTGAGCCCTCTACCAAAATTGTGAAATTCATGGCACCAGGGTCAGGGGTTCTGGCCCCAGGGTGGGGCTATATAGATCATATAGTGAAAGTGCATTATTTCTTTGAAAATCTTCTTCTCTGCTCCTGGGTATTAAATAAGGTAACTAAGTATATAGTTATGAAGAGCAAGACTGCCTCTTCCAAAATTGTGAAATTCATGGCCCCAGGGTCAGGGGTTCTGGTGTTAGGGCGGGCTCTATTGATTATATAGTGAAAATACATTAATTGTTTGAAAATCTTCTTCTCTGCTCCTGGGTATTAAATAAAGTAACTAAGTATATAGCTATGATGAGCAAAAGTGCTTTTTCAAAAATTGTGAATTTCATGGCCCCAGGGTCAGGGGTTCTGGTGTTAGGGCGGGGCTCTATTGATTATATAGTGAAAATGCATTAATTCTTTGAAAATCTTCTCTGCTCCTGGATATTTAATAAAGTAACTAAGTGCATAGTTATGATGAGCAAGAGTACTTCTTCCAAAATTGTGAATTTCATGGCCCCAGGGTCAGGGGTTCTGGTGTTAGGGCGGGGCTCTAATGACTATATAGTGAAAATGCATTAATTCTTTGAAAATCTTCTCCTCTGCTCCTGGGCATTAAGGTGATAAACTAAGTACATAGTTATGATGAGGAGGTGGGCCTCTTCCAGAATTGTGAAAGCCATGGCCCCTGGGTCAGGGGTTCTGGTGTTAGGGTGGGGCTCTAATGATTATATAGTGAAAATGCATTAATTCTTTGAAAATCTTCTTCTCTGCTCCTGGGTATTATTTAAACAAACTAAGTGCATGATTATGATGCATAAGGATGCCTTTTAGAAAATTGTGAATTTCATGGCCCCAGGGTCAGGGGTTCTGGTGTTAGGGCGGGGCTCTATTGATTATATAGTGAAAATGCATTGATTCTTTGAAAATCTTCTCTGCTACTGGAGATTATTTAAACAAACTAAATGCATGATTATGATAGGCAAGGATGCCTCTTTCAAAATTTTTAAGTATATGGCTTCAGTTTTTGGGGTTCTTGAGGAAGGGGGGGGGGGGCTCTATTGATTATATAGTGAAAAAGCATTAATTCTATTAATTAATCATTAATTAATCCTGTCTGCTCCTTGGTGATAAGCTGATAAATAAATAGCTTAGTTATGATGAAAATGGAAGCTTCAAACAGAATTTTTAAATCCTGTGGTCCTAAGGTCAGGGGTTCTGGCATAACGAGGGGGGGGGGGGGGCTTTTGATAATATAGTGGAATAGTGTTCATTCTTTAAAGTCCATAGTTATGATGATGAGGGTCACTCTTCCAAATTTGTAAATTTCTTGACCCTTGGTCTTGGGTTCTGGTGCTAGGGTAAGGCTTTGTTGAATCTTTAGTGAAAATGCATTGTACCTGTGAAATTCTTCTGGGCATATCGGAAGAAAACTGAGTAAGACTTTAAATGATATAAGTAAGCATATTTCTACCAGATTTTTGAACATCTGGACCATTTGTCTAAGCATTCTAGTCCTGGGCAGGACTCTATTAATTTGTATTCTACTGAGAGAAGTTATTCCCCTTTTCCATTCACCTTTGATAATTAATCACTGTAAATAATACATTTGGAAGGTTAATAGAATAGATAATTATGCAAGAATGTTTATCATATAATTCAAAAAGTATTTTCTTAGTTTTAATAATCAGGTAGACCTGTAAGTAATAGATAAATAAAAATGAGACAAAAATAACTTATCTTATTAAAAGTTCTTCAAAGACCATAAGAGAGGTCAATGCTAGAGGTCTTAATATGGGTTTAAAAATAGTACAGAAGCACTAATAGTTTGTTAATAGTCTGCATGTGATAGTGTTAAGTGGGGGACAGATTAGAACTTAATTTATGAGTTGATACTGAATACTAGACTAATTATTTTGTTGATCCTGATCTTCCTACTTCTCTTGCTTTAGGGCAACAAAGCTTCATCTATCAGTGTATTTAACTTCTAAATTGTTGTATTATACTCAGGTGACCGTTAAGGCCCTTGGGTCTCTTGTTTAAATTCGCTTCCGGTAGCAACCGGAAGTGGTGACGACGCACAAAAAGATAATTGTGCAAATCTAAAGGTCATGATCTATCTTCTCCAATAAGTCTCCAGTTCATATCTTTAGTCGTTCTTTAGAACATTCATCGACAAAAGTCCATTTAAAAATCAGGAAATAGTCCATAACTTGGAACCAAAAGAGAATTTACTAATTTTTTCTTTGAGATGAACAAAGTTCATTTAATGACTCATTTTTTCTGAAAGTTTCACTCAAAACCACTAAACAAATTTCGAGAAAACGCCTGCACAAAATTTGGTCAATAAAATAATAGCGAGCGCAGCGAGCGGCGCGAAACTGCTCGTCACTGCGAGATCTTAAAGCAACGCCTGGGCGAAGAGAAAATTCGGACTTTGCACATTGATCCAAGTGAATTTTTTTCCACAGTTACCTGTGGTCCCATAACACTCGATATGCGATATTTGGGGCGCTTTGCATATACATGTACATAATACTTAGCGAATTGCATCTCGCCGCAAACCACGTTTTCGCGATAGCAACAAAAATTCAACAAAATATAAAATCACCTTGATTTAATGGATATATAGCAGACACATAGATGATTAAACGTTTTTGATTAAAAATAGCACTGTTCAGACTTCGTTTTGGTAATGCAACATACATACGACGTCATATGACGTCAGAGTCTAGACGTAGCAAATGTCACGTGCGGTTTGACGAGCTCGATCTAAATTAAAACTGAAAGGTATCTGCGCTCGCCCTAACGGTCGCACCGTCAACATATTAATAATAAGAAGAAACAGTAGAATCACTATAAGGTCTTCCGTGAAGACGGAAGACCTTAATTAACCAATTTCAACAGCTTTTTTTAAAAGGAAAATGGTATTTATCTCATGCAAATGTTTTTTTAAGGTGCGATATTTTTTCTGGTGTGTTAAATGTTACCATTTTTTAAAAAAGAGGATGAATTTAGCTTAAAAAACGTAAACATATATAGAAAATTTTAACATCATAATTAATTGAAAGTTTATACATTAACTTAATTTATAATCAATATTTAACATTTTCCTTTACAAAAAATTCAAATGAAAAGATATGTAGACATGAGATAATTTGGACTAGAAGGTTCACCAAGTGATATCATAGAACTAAATTGTAATTTACTTGCTTAAGCATAACAATTGTTAGCAACTTGAACATGCAAATAAAGGGATTATTATGCCCTTTTACAACCATTTAAGTTTCACTGAATCACACGGTATAGTCAGAAAGATACCTAGGTTTCACGACAGCTCGACCCGAACGCGTTTTTGGTTGGTTGGTATCTGGTACTGGCAAAACTGGGTTCTTTTTGACTGTTGCTTCATTCTGTTGCACTGTGTTCGGTTTTGTGGTTAGCGGACTATTTGTCGAATGGTCTTTTGGAACCATAGTAATCGGAGGAATGCAGATTTCTTGTGTTGGTTGGATGATGTGTGGATCCTCTCTGGTTTTCATCAACTTGCAATTGTTCCGACGGTATGTTCGGGCCTGAATACCTGCTTTAACAAGGTGAGAACGTGGATTTCCAGTTTGCGAGATGTACTCTGCCGGTTTCAAACCCTCTGGTGTCTGAATGCGTATGGAATCGGCAGGCTCACACTGTTGTCTTGGCTTTGTGTGCTGATCGTAATAGAACTTCTGTTTTAGTCTGTATTCCATTAGACGAGTTGAAACCTGATTCGGCTCTATGATGCATGGTTTACGTAGGTTGTCACTGCTAGGTGTCAATGTTTAAGCTCTTCTAGACATCAGACGCTGCATCGGAGATCCAATTCCAGAATCCCTCGGGGTGTTGCGTAAATCAAGAAGACCCAAGTGTATATCATCTCCAGATTCTGCACATTTTTTAGAATGTTCTTGACAGTTTGAACTGCCTTTTCCGCCAAGCCATTGGATTGCGGATGTAAGGGCGATGATGTTATGTGTTCAATACCATAAGACCTTGTGAAATCCTTAAACTCTTGGCAGGAAAACTGTGGACCATTGTCGCTTACTAGTATGTCCATAACGCCATAACGAGCGATATTCTCTTTGATTTTTTTTATGACAGTTGCTGCTCTCGTGTCCCGTTCCAATTCAGCAACTTCTATGAAATTCGAATAGTAATCAACCATAATGAGGAAATAGTGGTTGTCAAACTCAAAAAGATCTGTGCCAACTTTGCTCCAAGGAAGTGAAGGTATTGGATGGATGATCATTGGTTCTTTCTGTGGCTTGTTCCTATGCATCAAGCAAGCGCTGCATCTACTAACAACATCTTCAATCTGTTTGTTCATCCCAGGCCAGAACACTAGCTCTCTAGCCTTTTGTTTGCATTTATGAATCCCTTGATGAGAACTGTGGATAGTTTTCAGTGTTGTAGCTCGTAGCTCACTTGGTATGACTGTTCGTTCTCCACGATAGATTAACCCGTTGTAGGTAGATACATGTAACTCATCGTGAAAGTCCCAGAACGGCATGAACTTCAAGTAGTAAGTCACATTTCCTGTCTGGCCATCCTTGGCAGATAACTTGTTTCAGAGTCTGTAATTGCTGATCTTTCTTTGTGGCTTCTACTAAGGTTTCGTGGTTTGTATGTGAAAATGTTTCTACAGTAAAGACCATTATTTCGTCGTATATCACTTGTCCGTCGCTCTCCTTTTACGGTAACCTGCTCAAACAATCTGCCAATCCTTCCCCTTTACTTATATGAGATTAAATTCTTAATACTGCAGTCTTAATGTCATTTTTTGAATTCGCATCGGTGCTTTGTATATTGGTTTTTTGATGATGCTTTCCAGTGGCTTGTGGTTTGTTTCTATAGTTACGTCAGCTTTCCCATACAGCAATTTGTGAAACCGTTTACACCCAAACAATACTGCAAGCATCTCCTTCTCGATTTGCGCACATCTTTGCTCCGCTGGGGTTAGAGCTCGAGACGCATAAGCCACTACTCCATTAATATTTTTCTGCAAGATTGCTGCTCCCAAACCTTTCATTGATGCATCAACTGTAACAGTCACTGGCTGTGTCGCATCAAAGTACTTCAAGACATCTGTTGAGGTAAGTGCTTTCTTAGCATTAGCGAATGCCTGTTGAGCTTCTGTGTCCCAGCTCCACTGGTCTCTAGTCTTAAGCTCTCGTAATGGTGATGTTAGTTCACTTAGTCTTGGAATGAACTTGGCCAAGTATGCGAGCATGCCCAACACGGTCTCTAGCTCGTTTCTATCCTCTGGATCCTTCATCTCAAGAATTGCTCGTACTCTATCTCTTGACGGTTTTAGACCTTCTCCTGTGAGTTGGTGACCAACATAATCTACTTTTGGCTTCACAAGTACACACTTAGCTGAGTTTAATTTCAGACCAATTGATCAGGCCTTTTTGAGTACTGAAGTAAGTCTGTGTGCTCCTTCAGAGTCTTCCCATGAACCAGTATATCGTCAATCACGATTTCCACACCTTCCATGCTTCCAAAGGAGTAACCATTTCTCTCTGGAACACTTCTCCCGAACATTTTAATCCCACTGGAATACGAAGATATCGGTATCTTCCAAACGGCGTGTTAAATGTTGTTAACAAGAAGCTTGCTTTGGTCAGTTTAATTTGATAGTAGCCCATTTTGGCATCAAGGGTAGAAAAAAACTTGCTTCCGTGTAACCTGGTTACTATGCCGTCTATGCTGTTCATAGGGTAATGCTCACGCCTAATCGCTTTATTGAGATCTGATGGATCAATGCAAATTCGTACACGACCGTTCTTCTTCCTTACACAAACCATACTGTTTACCCATGCGGTTGCGGTTGATTCTTTGACTGGGGTAATGATCCACAGCGAACAAGATTGTCAAACTCACTTTTCACTTGCTCGCGAATGGCTACAGGGATAGCTCTTGGTGCGTGAATAACTGGTGTTACAGTGTTGTCAACTTTGATCTCATACTCGCCAGGTAGGCATCCAACTTCCTGTCCGATAACATCTGTGAATTCTTGCTTAATTTGATCCGTGACGTCACTCACACTTACATTGTTTACTCTGGCTATAAGACCAAAAAGAATGCTGTCCTTCCTCCCCAGTAGCTGTAAGGGACGAGGATTGTCAATCACTTGAATGTTTATGGTTCTCTCCATGTCTTGGTATCTGCATGGCAGGCATATTTGTCCACATGCTTGTGCTGTGTTGCTCACTCCATTGATGATAACATTGCTGTCTGTAATGGGCGCGATCGGTGTGAATTTCTCGGCACTTGTTCTTGATAGGATGTTGCACTGCGCTCCGCTGTCAATATCTAGAGTAAGTTTCCTATCTTTGACGTCAAAGGTGACTTTCCCATCACTTAGTTTCTCTTGGCTGGAATCTGTTTGAGCTGTCCACACATCCTGAAACGTACACTGATCAAACATTTGTTCCAATTCTTGAGTATCCTGATATTTGTTATCTTCTGCGTAATATATTCTTGATCGCTGCGGTGCATGTCCACTGCCTCTGAACCTACTCCTGCCTCTACGGAAATTTCTGGCTGGTGTACTGCGTCCTCGACACAAGGTTGAATGTTTGAAATGCCCTTTTTGGCCACATGAATCACAATACTTGTTATAAGCCGGACAGTTTACACTCGCATGGTGTTTGCTACATTTGATACAAAACGGATGAGTGCCTTGATATTTACCTCCCCTTGTTGGTCGCCGACTTGTCCTTGTTTTCTCATGACGCATGTGTGCGCGATTTACTGCTGGGTTCTCTGCATCCAAGTTTTTCAGATGTGCGCTGGTTAGTTCGACATGTCTGAATTACTCTGTCTAGATTCAAGTCGGCAGCTGAAATTTCCATTAATTTCTCTGAGCACTTCCTGTCGTTAACACCGTTAATAATCATGTCACATATGAAGCCTTCCTTATGTTCACCTTACTCACAAAATTCTGCTTTCCGAGCTCCGAGATATAGTCCATAATTGTGCTCTAACCTCTCTTGGTATTTAAAAATTCCTGTCTCTTGATGTTGCGATAATTGTGCACACCAAAATGGCGATCGAATTTGCGGAACACTGTATCTAGGTCATGGCGATCCTCTCCAATATTTCAATGGCAAGCGTTACAAACTTTTCTGGCGGTCGCAATATAATATTTTTTTTTACCTTGCACCTTCCGGCTTCAGTATATTGCAATGTATTTGATAATATGAATAATATTAATTACAGTCAAAATTTTTTATCATGATACGTAATATGTGAATAGCCAAATGATGAAAAAATCTATAATAGAATGTTTCCTTTTCATTATGAAACTTAAAAGTATTTGCCCACATAGTTCTGCATTATATTTTCAACATAACTGAGAGAATCTCAGCCAGGACTAATTTCCTCTCGCTTCCCAACTCTCCATAGATACTTGAGTTGCTTTCACCAACTCTAGTCACTTCTCATTTAGAGAGTTTTAGAATTCATTATATATGATTTGCTAGACCAGAGCGCAGTTCAAACTTCATGTATAAAAGCCAAAAATATGTGTTTAATCCTTAATCAGGCAGACGTATGTGCCTAGACATCCAGACTTAAAACAATCCACGTTCCCTACTTAACCACACAAAAATATATGGGCGCTTGTCTGGCATGTTGGACCGTGGATTTCTATTTAAAAGAAAGTCAAAAATATAACTATGCATGATAAATAACGTTAAGGAATGGACTTGCCCTAAAACTTATTTTTTGTTCAGTCAGTCGGAAAATGCAAGAAAGATCCGGCATCTGAACCATGTCTGAAGCATCATCAGTGCAAGTTTGGTTACGATAGGGCTTATAGTTACATTAGAATGAGACCTGGTTCAAAATCTTTAACCTGCTTACTCAATAAGGAAATGTAGGTCATATCCAGCATCTGAAGCAATCTAGTAGTGTGCATCCGTAGATGCATCATAAAGCATGTTTTTACAATAATTATCACTACTGCAAGAAAGGTGTGAAAAGTCGTTCCTCGAAAAATTACCGTCCAGATAAACGAATCATTTTTCAATAAATTATTACGTTTTGTAGTAGAAATTGACCGTCCGGATCCGGAACGCGAATTTCCGGATTAATGAGACAGAATAACGTGGAAAAAATCGGTTCCCAGAAAATATCGTCCGGAAGGTGAAGCGTCCGGATTATTGGCGTCCGGATTACCGCGGCGCCACTGTATATGAAAGGTCCAATTGAATAAAAGAATTAAACAAGAATTTTTAATGTATAATAATTCAAAAAGTAATTTCATGGTTGTTAAATAATGGTCAGGTAGACTTAAGCTTGTAAATAATAGATGAATAAAATGACACAAAAATACTTATCTTAATACAATATATTATATTCTTCAAAGGCCTAGAGAGGCCTAGGTGAAAGGGAATTCGAAGGGTTTACTCCATGTTCTCTAGCACTATTGTATCCTATTATTATTATATAGTCTGCATGATAATGAAAAATTAAAGTGGACCTTAGTACAGGCAAGTAAATTGATCTACTTTATGATTTATTACTGAGTACTAGACAACCTGACAAGCTATTTTGTTGATCTCTGCTTGATTCATCCTATTTCGCTTGCTTTTGGACAATATATCTTCATTTCTCAGTTTATTTTGTTTTATTTCATTCTTCAATGGATGTTTTAAAGTTTTGTTAGGCCCTAGGACCGAGGCCTGTAGGAAGCAATTTCAGTTATGTTTTTTTTTTTGGGGGGGGGGGGGCACAGCCATACATTTTTTAGTTGACAATTGAGGGGGCACTACCAAAATTTCCTGACAAGCAAAATAAAAAAAGAAAAGGTCATCAGACGTTTTTATTGAGGGGACACAAGCATGTAGTATCTATGTTTACTATTATATAGTAATCTATATATCGGTAAAATTATTTGGGACATCCCACCGTGCCCCCCCCCCCCCCCCCGTTCCTACGGCCATGCTAGGACCTTTAAAGGTCAAATATAATATTTATTATTTGAAAATCCATAATTACTCATGATTATCAGCCTTGGGCGCAACATAAATGATATTCTATGGTCTGTTTAATTTTTTTTTTTGTCATCAATTGTCATCATAGGACGTCGTTTAGATTGAACTTTGTGACAAGTGGAGCTTTTATTATAAATTGCCTCTCTCCCTTTTTTGCGTGACGTCATAAGAGACAACAACTTAATAAGTTCATTGCCGGATTTTGGCACATTATCGTTGGCGAGGTGGTGCTAATTGTGCTTTAACTATAACAATAAGTCGGGACAGGGCCTACGTATGTATTTATCTCCGAAGGTCCCGAAATTGAGGAAAATATGAACATTAAAATTAAAAAGAGATGGTTTTGAACCCAATCAACTAGTCCGAAATATCTGACGTTTTCCAGGCTTTTTTTCACGATTTTGATATTTCACGTGCCAGGCACTTGAAATATCAAAATCGTGAAAAAAGCCTGGAAAACGTCAGATATTTCGGACTACCAATCAACATGCGAAGCTTTCTGAGCGAC